GCTCCCACTAATATACTCATTAACAACATTTCTTAATTATTTATTTTTTGTTCAGGTAGTCTCAAGCATTGACATGGATGATTCTCAGTCTATAGATATGGATATCGTTGATGTGAGAGAAAGTGACGATGCTTCTAAGGTAATGCCGCCTCCTTCCAGTACTAGTATTACTACTAGTTCTAAAAGTAAACGTAAAACATCAGAAGTTTGGAATTACTTTGATGCATATTTTGATAAGAATAGGAATGAGAGGGCTAGGTGTAAGGGGTGTAATAAAACTTATGCATATGATAGTTCCACTCATGAGACTGAAAATTTGAAGCGTCATATAGGATATTGTCCAAAACATGGCAACACTGATATATGACAATTATTGACTGATCATGATCATAAATTGCAAAGTAGAAAGATTAGTCAAGAGACTTTTTGTAAGAAGATGACATTATCAATTATTCAACATAATTATCCATTGCATATGTGGAGAATCAAGGAACTAGGAATGTCTTTTTGTATTTGTGTAAGGATGTTAAGCATTATACTAAGAACACCGCTAAGGTAGATTGCTTAAAAGTATATGGAAGGATGAAGGAAAAAAACTGAGCTTGAAATAGAAAGGCTTATTAGTAGAATATGCTTAACTTCTGATGTTTGGACTTTTGCTATAACTAAGGGATATATTTCTTTAACAGCTCATTACGTAGATGAGAATTGGGTGTTACAAAGTAAAATACTCAACTTTTGTCATATTCCTCCTCCACACTCAGGGATTGTTTTGGCAGATAAAGTTTTGACTTTCTTACAAGAATGAGGAATTGAAAAAAAAGTTTTCTCAATTACTTTGGACAATGCAAGTAGTATTGATAGGATGGAAGATATCTTAAGGAACCAACTTTGTGTGCAGAATGCTTTGTTTTGTAGGGATGATTTTTTCCATGTGCAATGTTTTGCACATATTTTGAATCTTATTGTTCAAGAAGGGTTAGTGTGGCTTTAAATAAGATTCGAGATAGTGTGAAATATATAAAAGGAATTAAGGCTAGAAGAATCAAGTTTGGAGAACTTGTTGTACAAATATGTGTGAAAAGCTCAATGGGGTTGAGATTGGACATTTCCACTAGATGGAATTTGACTTTTTTAATGTTTGAAACTACTTTAATATATCGTCTTGTGTTTGTAGTTTTGTCAACTATAGATCACAATTATAAATTTTGTCCATCAAATGAAGAATGGGATAGAGAGGAGAGGATATGCAAGTTCTTGGAACCATTTTATGAGATTACAACTTTATTCTCAGGTTCCAAATATTCTACAGCAAACTTGTACCTTAAATGTGTGTGGGAAATTCAATTGCGTTTAGTTGAAGAGAGGATGAAGTTATTAGGAGCATGGCGGAACTAACGATCCCAAAATTTGAAAATATTGGGATTCTTATAGTCTTGTGTTGACTATTGCAACTATTCTTGACCCACGTCTCAAGTTTCAGTGTGTGGAGTATGCTTACAAAAAAGTTTATGATTTAACTACTACCCAACAAAAGATGGAGGTTGTTAAAAATAACTTGCATAGGCTTTTTCAAGCTTACGAGGTTCAATGTTTCAAAGAAGTTCCTGCCTCACCTTCAGTTGTTTCTCCTGTGAGTGTTCCTATTCTTTGTAAGCGTGTAGATCATACTTGCGTAAGTCACTATACTTTTTATATTCTTTTGATTAATAAGGTTTGTTTATTGTTTAATTTTAACTTTTGATACTTACCTATTTAAATGGTGCAGGATTTTGACAACTATGAGATTGAATTTATTACCCCTAAGAAATTTGAATTGGACCTTTATCTGGAAGAGACAAGGTTTGATCGCATCAAACATCAGAATTTGGATATCCTTGAGCATTGTAAGACCAATTGTGATCGTTATCTGGTACTTGCCATGATGGCTCGTGATATCATGAGTATACCAATAACATCCATTGCTTTGAAGTCCGCTTTCAGTATTGGCAGTAAATTGCTCAACAAATATCGAAGCTCACTTTGACAAAAAAATGTAGAATCTTTGATATGCACTCGGACTTGGCTATACGGATATGAGTTTAAAGGTAACATGTTAATATAATATTTCATATATTTTATTATTTACATTTATTAATATTTGTAGTTGATAACTGTAGATGATGATGTGGATGATGATTTGAATAATGATCTTGATGTGCCATTAACTAATCCGAGGATTGCGGAATCAAGAGACTCTACTATCACCCTCATTGTGGAATGAACATGAATTGGCCAAGAAAATTTTTAGTTGAACAATGCCAAGTCAAGTTAAATTTATATTATGTTTTTGTTTTTGTAATTTTGTATTTGTGTTATTGATACTTATTTGTTTGGTATTTGTTTTTGTGTATTAGTGATAATGTATTTGTTTTCTATAAACTATATGCTTGCTGTCTTAAATTGATGAGAAATTGAGTTGATTGTGAACTTTTGTGGTGAATTGAATTGAATTTAGAGAAGTTGATTGTGGGGGGGTAATTGTAAAAAATGAAAACTATAGGAATTTTGGGGGTGTACTATCATAATTTAAAACTAAGGATGAATAGTGCAGGTACCCGTGGGTCCACCCTTACCCGCATAGGGTAGGGTGTAGGTCCAATAATTTAGACCCGTCTAGATTGACTCGTGGGACTTGCACCAGTTTTGACCTGGCCTATACCCAGCCCGCCTACCCGTTTTGCCATGTTTATTTGTCAATAAGGTTTGGAGTTGTTTTAAGCTTGAATACAGAGGTTTGGGTACTTTTATATTCAAGTTTTGTTGTTGTTTGACTTATTGAACCGTGAACTCCCCCTTCCCATTCTTATCACTTCGTATTAGGGGTGGGCCAAAAAATAGGATAGAATCGAAATCAACGAGTACTCAGGTGTCAATTCCGGTTCCTACCTAGAACCAAAAGCCATAGGATCAGTTTCGGTTCCAAAAACTAGAATCGACATTGTGCAGTTCCAGTTCTGGTTCCTACAGGGGTGGAATCGAGAACTAGAACCAGGACTTAAATAAATTTTGGGATAATATGAGGACTTTTCTGATATTTTACACTTCAAATAAAAGAATAAAAAAATGCGATTGAGAACAAGAGCATTCGATATCTCGATTTAGGGAATAGGGATAAAGAAGAACAAAAGGTTGTGCCTCTCAATTCTTCGGCTGAATTTGACTTCGAATTAGTTGTCTCTCAATTAATATTCCGTTCGCATAGTTCTTCGATCAATTTTATCTGACAAAGGTACTTTTTCAGAGCATCTAATATTATAGTTTCGTTTAACAAATCTGAGGTTTAGGTTTTTGTCTAATAAATTTGAGGTTTGGGTTTTCGTTTAATTAATTCTTGCTGTTGCTCAAGAGACAAAGAAACATGAGACTTGATCTCAAAGTGAAAAGCCAAAAAAACTGTTTTCTTTTAATAAATCGGTTTGGGTTTTGTTATGTACAATTGTAACGGATCATAGTTCTTCTGAAAATACTGGAATTGGATGGGATTGTATTGATTTGTTGTTTTTTAATTTAAAGACAACACTTTCGAAAGGAGATTTGTAGATATCATGAAGCAATTTAGTTCTCCATAATTTGTTCCTCTGTCATTTAAGAATAATGGTTACTATTATGTTATGGGTGTAATGTCTGTCTATGGATTTGTAAGGATATTTCTAGACTTTCTATATAATGTATGTTTAATCTAAACTTTGATCTTATAAATCTGCCGTTTAAGTTTAATTTTCTATTTTCCCTGTCTCTAGCTCACTAATTGCACTAGATATATTCATTTCATTACTTTTTGCTTGCTTCTTTTGTATGTATTCAGCTACCTCTTTTAAGGATATATTGGGGTTCAAAAGATGCTTGCTCTTTGTGTCAATTTTTTTAGTTTTATTTTTAGGGTTTTGCCTTTAGTATGTCCTATCTATATGTGCATAGTCAAATGTATGTCATCATCTTCTATGATATTAATTCTATATTTTTAATTTGCAGGTTATCTTTGCTTGAATTAGTAAGTTGCCTAGATATTGTGGTTGAAGTTCATGGTCTTCTCATTTATTGTTCTCTTTGAGTCCATGTCCTCTTCCCTCAACAATACTTGATAATTCTGCTCAATTAACAGAAACCAGATCTTCTTCAATTCAATTTGCAGCATAAACTGAAACCATGGATACAAAAAATTGCAATGGTGGAATGTTCTTTGGTTTCTTTGAAGTGTTCTTATTTATTCATTTAATTTATTTTCAGAGGGACTAGAGTACAGCTTCCTATCAGAATTTGATGCTTAAGGGCTTGTTGCAATTACCTGCTTCTTCACCTCATTTGATTCTTTGAATATTTGGTTGTGCTTGTAAAGTAATCAAAAGGAATTTGTGGAATAACTCAAATTATTGATATTTTGTAACTTTTTATTTACATAATATCCATAGATACTAAAGTTTCTTTATATTCTGCTAATTAATTCATGGATGATATTTCTATTGTATTTACTTCAACTTTCAATTTTTTGAAAATGGGATAGACAGCAAATTGAGATCACAATTACAACTCAATAGGATATTTTTATTGGTTTAAATATTATATTGATAGTTATTTAACCACTAGTCCTTTAACTTCTAGTTATTGGGTATATAAATAATTCAACAGACAATGAGATGAACATTCAATATAATTGTTTATAATGCTGAAGATCAGAACATCAGAGTAAAATTCTCAAATAGACATCAATTATTAACATTCCAATTCATCATTATTTGGTACACTCATTATTTGGAACACTCATTTCTCAATTAATTGGTCAATTTGACAANAAATTGATTCTAATAAATTTCCTAGCCCAACACTAAATGGGCCAATAGATGTAAAGGAGCTAAGGATACGTACCGAATTGTTTAGAACGACATGTCGCTTTGCTACTTCAAACGTCAAGTCGTTTTATATTAAAAAGCCTCGTTTCTAGGAGCAAGCATGGCCTGCAACCGCTACTGCAGAGAAGGGACATGAGAGGGTTTTCTTCTTCAGCTTCTAGGGCAACACCTTCACTAAAACATATTTCTGAAGAATCATCTAGTCACAAAATATCAAACGCTAAACCGAAACCATCTCTCGTTCATAAGCAAACCAACAACAACACTGAAGCATCTTCAAGAGGTAACAACTCCTCTTCTTCTTTACTGAATTCTCGTTTCCTTAATAAACCCAATTCTGTTTCATACTCAAACAGTCCCATTTCAGCTAATAAACGCTTTCAACCGATTGATCACAGTAACATTTCTCAAATTCTTGCTAGAAATGACTGGTTTTTATTGCTAAACCACGAATTGAAGGCTAAAAGGATCAGTTTGGTTCCTCAATTTGTAGTGAGTATATTGCAAAATCAAGAAAACCCATTGCACCCTTTGAGGTTTTATATCTGGGTTTCTAATATCGACCCCTTGTTTTCAAAGAATCAATTGGTTAAGGGTGTTTTAGCTAATGTACTTTACAGAAAAGGTCCTGTTATTTTATCTGTTGTGTTGCTTAAAGATATTAAGAACTCGGGTTTTCAACTCAGTGAGGATTTGCTTTGTGTTCTAATTGGTAGTTGGGGCAGGTTAGGATTATCTAAATATTGTGCTGAAATTTTTGGGCAGATTTCTTTTTTGGGTATTAGTCCTAGTACAAGGTTGTATAATGCTGTTATTGATGCACTGGTGAAATCCAATTCCATTGATTTAGCATACTTGAAGTTTCAAGAGATGTCGGTGGATAACTGCAAACCGGATAGGTTCACATACAATATACTTATTCATGGAGTTTGTAGAATTGGTGTGGTGGATGAGGCTCTTCGATTAGTCAAACAGATGGAGGGAGTGGGATATTCACCTAACGTGTTTACATATACAATTCTTATTGATGGTTTTTGTAATGCAAAGAGGGTAGATGAAGCTTTTAGGGTTTTAGAGATGATGAAGGAAAGGAAGGTTAGTCCCAATGACGCTACTGTTAGATCATTGGTTCATGGGGTGTTTCGTTGTTCAGCCCCTCGTAAGGCGTTTGAGTTGTTAATAATGTTTATGGAAAGAGAGCCTGTGATGCCAAAATTAGCCTGTGATACTCTACTATATTGCCTTTCAAACAACTCTATGGCAAGAGAGGCAGCCATGTTCTTGAGGAAGGTTGGGGAGAGAGGTTACTTGCCTGAAAGTTCGACGTTTAACACTACCATGACTTGTTTGATAACTGGATTGAATCTTGATGAGACATGTGGAATTTTTAAGAGTTTTATTGAGCGAGGTGTGAAGCCAGGTTTTAATACGTATCTCATGCTCATTGAAGCCTTATACAAAGCAGGAAGAGGAAAGGATGGGGATTGCTATTTGGAACATATGATCAAGGAAGGACTTGTGCCAAATGTATATTCATATAACATGGTGATTGATTGTTTTTGCAGAGTCAATATGGTGGAGAGGGCTGCAGAGACATTTAGAGAGATGCAAGGTAGAGGTATTGCTCCTAACCTCGTCACTTTCAATACCCTGATTAGTGGGCATTGCAAGGATGGAAAGGTACTTAAGGCTCGTGAACTTTTGGAGATGCTTTTAGAATGTGGTTTGAAACCTGATATCTTCACTTTTAGCTCAATTATCGATGGGCTTTGTAGAGCGCGCCACATTGAGGACGCTTTAAATTGTTTCACTGAAATGGTCGAGTGGGGTGTTACTCCAAATGCTATCACATACAATATTTTGATCCATTCTTTGTGTGTCATTGGGGATGTTGCTAGATCATGGAGACTTTTAAGAAAGATGCAAGCAGATGGAATAAGTCCAGATATTTACTCTTTCAATGCTCTAATCCAAAGTTTTTGTAGAATGAATAAGATTGAGAAAGCAGAGAAGCTTTTTATTTCCATGTTGACGCTGGGTTTGAGTCCTGACAATTATACTTATGGTGCTATTATCAAGGCATTGTGTGAATCAGGAAGATTTGTTGCAGCAAAAGAAATGTTTCTTTCAATGGAAGCAAATGGTTGCATTCCTGATTCTTATACATCTAACTTAATTTTGGAAACTCTGATTCACAATGGCTGCTCTGAAGATGCTTGTGATATTGTGAAAAGATATAATGAGCGGGGTTTTTCTTTAAAATCCACCCCCAATCTTTAGGATCCTGCCTCAATTGTTTCAAAGATTAGTGCCACTTTGTTGAGATTACATTTTGAAGCTGATGTGGGTATAAAGTATCAAGATGTTATGCTTTTTGCATCTGTGGCATCATTTACAATCATATAATCATAACAAGATACTTAATTTTTTTCATGGAAAATTCTTTCACGCTTTCTGGAAGAATATGGCACTCATTCCTTGTGGGATTTATGTACCAGTTGTTAATTTGGATCAAGGGATACAGGTTGCCTGGAGATAAGCCTTTGCAACAGTCGGTATTGCTCAATTTATCCTGCTCAAGGTTCTATGCCATGGCTCTACTGCAGGCAATGGACATGAATCAGCAATGAGAAATTGACATGTAGTTTTATCATTAGGTAAGAATAAACCTGCTCCTATAGCCCCATAGGCAAGGTGCACAATATCAGTAGCTTGCAGTGTTTTTGGGGTGTGAGACAGGTTTTCTTTCCACAACTCACCTTTTGGGTATGACTTAATGCGACATCAATGTTACTATCATACTAACTGGTCAGAAGAGGAAGTATCTGTTGGAAGACGTGATGATTAGGATCAGTTCTTCAAGTTTGAAGACTTCGACATGTATCATCTTTTTATGCAAAGCAACAGCGTGTACCATGACTAATGGAGCTCTCCACAGCCAAGTGGTAACTTCGCAAGGCAAAGCAGAATTGAATCAACAGGGGACATCCAGTGGAAATGTACTTCAGTATTCACTCTGTATAGTGTATACATTCTTTAGGATTACAAGAAAACAGTTGTCACATTCTTCAAAAGTTTTGTTTTCTTTTTCTTCTGGTGGCTATATCATTCTCAGTGACGCTACTCATTAGATGTACCAAAGCTGTGGAATGAATATAATTTATTTTCCTTCACATTGTTTCTTAAAATTATGGGTTTACCTAACCTTATGGAAGGTGCAGAAATGGGATTTCTTAACTCCATTAAGAAATGTCTCTAACACTCCACATGTTCACTTGGACTGTTGCCACTGTCCTCATGTACCAATTCTATGCTTCTCTGCGTGGATTACTTATGCCATGAACCAAAGACTATTTTCCTCCCTGATGAAAAGAAACCTTGGAAATGAACATATTTTTTAGGTTTGATTTTTAACACTATAATAGAAAAGTCCTCAAACTTGCAAGTAATAGTTGGTGACTTGCATTCCACCTACTCTGTCCTTAGTCTTCTCCATTCCTCCAAATTGATACCCTACAAAAAAGCAACCCACCAAGTTTATTCATTTTCCAATTGAATCCACCAAACTTACTTCTGCTATTCAATTCTTACCTTATCCATCTAATTAAACTTCCAGTTAAGTATTTGCACAATGTGAATAACAAGAAAAATCTGAATGATTTATTTCCTCGGCCAATGACAATGAAATGAAAAGTGAACGTATCAGGCAAGATCGCAGATGGGTCTATCAAATTGTTTAAAAAATATTTGAAAATATTTCACTTCAGTCAATATGAGATTAGAAAATTGGGAAGATTAGCAACTAACCATTAAATGCAACAGTTTTGTGCCTTGTGGAACTGCATTTATATAATTAGCCATAGATCACCTCTCTCTTTCACAAGTTTGTACTGCCTTTAATCTTTTATAATGGCATACTCAGTGACCGTTCAGCCTTGCGTTTTAGCTATAGCTCTTGTCTGCATTTCTTTCTTCTGTTGCAACTTTGGTATTTAAAAGAAATAAAGTGTTGTAGCCTTTGCGTTGCTATGGTTTTTGGTTATAATACCTGATTATTTGAACCAACTCTTGACAGGGAAAGCAAATGCTCAAACAGGCATTGGCGGTACGGNAATGGGTTGACTTTCACTGTTCCCATTGGTCTTTTCACCAATCAGTTCACGCCACGCTAGCAAATGAACTGTGACAGCTGTGGCCGCTCTTTGTTTGGTAGTAATTTTTTTTTTCATTTCCCAATATTCAGGAATTTTTATTTTAAAGCATTATCATCTAGTTGAAAGTGTTGAAATAATTAGGCTGGGTTTGGTAGGCGGTTTAGAATAGCGTTCTATAATAGAATACTATTTAATAAAATACGATAGGATTCTAAGAATGTGTTTTAGAAATTTTTTTTAAAAATATTTAGATTTTTTTAACCTCTTATATTTGTTAATTTCACTAAACACCCCATAATGAAAGTTTATAAATTAACAAAAACATTCTTACTTACCCAACTATTGTCAACAGCTAGCCACCAGCGTCGGAAGGTGGCTAGAAGTCATTGGAATGACGCACAACCGATTAGATCTAATAAGTAGTGCACCAATCTGACATTTTTCGGTCCGATTACAGCCAAGATATGGCTGTCATTGATGGCCAGATCCACCATGGATCTGGCCAGAAATGGACAAATTAGCTCACAGTAGGTTAGATCCAGTTGATCGTGTGTCGCTACGGTGGCGGCAGTGGCTACTAGCGGGTGACAGTGGCTTGGGTGGATGGGGGTGTTTTTATTAATTTATAAACATTTATTAAAAAAAAAAAGTAATTGTTAAATGTTTTGAATTAAATAGAATAAGGTTGGATTTTTAGTTGAATAAAAAAGTTAATTATTTTATTGGATTGAATAGGATAGTGAAAAAAAAAAGCCTTCCAAACCTAGCCAATTTCCCGTGAGGTTTGGACAGGGATGGGCATTTGATCCTCCCCATCGGAGACCCTCCTCGCTCCACCCTAAACGGGATGGGAATTCCCCAAACAATAATGCTACGGACATCGAAGGTTTACACCAAATTTTTGCACTAACAGACGTGTCATCTGAGTCAAATGTAGCCACGTAGCACACTAACAAGCATTACGTGAATGAATGGTCGTCCATCAAATATGGACAAACGTCCATGATTATTGAAAGACCATTCATTTTAAATGGACTCCCGTTCATACGAAAATAACAATGGATTCCCGTCCACCTCGAATGAACACTCGTACATAGTTTAAATTATAAAATTATAAAAAAATAGTAATGGACTTCTGTCCATATTATATGAACGGACGTCCATATTCAATGGACGGACATCCCTATTTTATGGACACCCATCCATAAAATGCACCATCAAATTCACTCGTGGAATATTTATTTTTGAGAGATTGTAGAGTCAGATGTCGATTGACCACATATCTCACCAACACCACATTTGTTTTTTCCATAATCCATAAAAACCGTGAGGTTCATTATTTTTTAAAGTTAAAAGGGAACTACTAAATTGATAAACACAATAATATAAATTAACAACTACTAGTTTTGTGGTCACAAGATTTTAGCCACGTGATGGGTTACTTAGAAGTCTTATATTCAAGTTTCATAAAGTGATCACCTAGCCTATTGGGGCTTATAGGATATTCAATGGACCATGAGAATTAGTTGTGTGTAGAGTGTTCAATATATCCCGGGATTAGTTAAAGTGTGCATAAGCTGAACTGGACATCCCAATTTTTAAATAAAAATATATATATTAACTTCATTTGTCGAATTATTGGATTATAATAATCGAATTATAAAATATAAGTTTTTTAAGAAAATAGTATTGATTTAAGCATCAGAGGAAGAACAATTGGGTCTATAATTGGTCAAAGTAATACTTTTGTTTTTCAGATTGTCTTCATTTAACCAGATTTCAAGGAATTGCGCCGCCCTAAAACAATTTTTATCTTGAATTTTTTTTTTATATGAACACCCATCCATATAAGATGGACGGGCATCTATTATTTTATTTTTAAAATTTTATGGACGGGCGTCCATATAAGGTGGGCGCCCATCCGTATCATATGAACGGGAGTCAATTGTTAGTTTCATAGATGCTCGTCCATTCGTGATGAATAGTTGTCAATAAAATATGGACATGCGTCCATAATTGTTGGACGACCATTCATTCACGGAAGAGGTGTGTTGCCTCTAACGTGGGCACGTCTGGTTGGATGCCACATATGTCGGTACAAAAATTCGATGCAAATCATGGGTGTCTATAGCATTATCGTTCCCCAAAATAGTCAAGCGGGTTGGGGACGAGGGGTAGGCAATTCCCTAATNTTTTTGAAAATTTGAAATTAATAATAGTTAGTAAAGCAGTGAAGAGAGAATCTACAGAGAAAAGTGATTGAAAATGATTGATTCTGTTTCTGTCACGAAATGTGTAGGGTTTAGTTTTGTTTGGACTTTGTTTAGTCAATGGGTTGACTTTCACTGTTCCCATTGGTCTTTTCACCAATCAGTTCACGCCACGCTAGCAAATGAACTGTGACAGCTGTGGCCGCTCTTTGTTTGGTAGTAATTTTTTTTTTCATTTCCCAATATTCAGGAATTTTTATTTTAAAGCATTATCATCTAGTTGAAAGTGTTGAAATAATTAGGCTGGGTTTGGTAGGCGGTTTAGAATAGCGTTCTATAATAGAATACTATTTAATAAAATACGATAGGATTCTAAGAATGTGTTTTAGAAATTTTTTTTAAAAATATTTAGATTTTTTTAACCTCTTATATTTGTTAATTTCACTAAACACCCCATAATGAAAGTTTATAAATTAACAAAAACATTCTTACTTACCCAACTATTGTCAACAGCTAGCCACCAGCGTCGGAAGGTGGCTAGAAGTCATTGGAATGACGCACAACCGATTAGATCTAATAAGTAGTGCACCAATCTGACATTTTTCGGTCCGATTACAGCCAAGATATGGCTGTCATTGATGGCCAGATCCACCATGGATCTGGCCAGAAATGGACAAATTAGCTCACAGTAGGTTAGATCCAGTTGATCGTGTGTCGCTACGGTGGCGGCAGTGGCTACTAGCGGGTGACAGTGGCTTGGGTGGATGGGGGTGTTTTTATTAATTTATAAACATTTATTAAAAAAAAAAAGTAATTGTTAAATGTTTTGAATTAAATAGAATAAGGTTGGATTTTTAGTTGAATAAAAAAGTTAATTATTTTATTGGATTGAATAGGATAGTGAAAAAAAAAAGCCTTCCAAACCTAGCCAATTTCCCGTGAGGTTTGGACAGGGATGGGCATTTGATCCTCCCCATCGGAGACCCTCCTCGCTCCACCCTAAACGGGATGGGAATTCCCCAAACAATAATGCTACGGACATCGAAGGTTTACACCAAATTTTTGCACTAACAGACGTGTCATCTGAGTCAAATGTAGCCACGTAGCACACTAACAAGCATTACGTGAATGAATGGTCGTCCATCAAATATGGACAAACGTCCATGATTATTGAAAGACCATTCATTTTAAATGGACTCCCGTTCATACGAAAATAACAATGGATTCCCGTCCACCTCGAATGAACACTCGTACATAGTTTAAATTATAAAATTATAAAAAAATAGTAATGGACTTCTGTCCATATTATATGAACGGACGTCCATATTCAATGGACGGACATCCCTATTTTATGGACACCCATCCATAAAATGCACCATCAAATTCACTCGTGGAATATTTATTTTTGAGAGATTGTAGAGTCAGATGTCGATTGACCACATATCTCACCAACACCACATTTGTTTTTTCCATAATCCATAAAAACCGTGAGGTTCATTATTTTTTAAAGTTAAAAGGGAACTACTAAATTGATAAACACAATAATATAAATTAACAACTACTAGTTTTGTGGTCACAAGATTTTAGCCACGTGATGGGTTACTTAGAAGTCTTATATTCAAGTTTCATAAAGTGATCACCTAGCCTATTGGGGCTTATAGGATATTCAATGGACCATGAGAATTAGTTGTGTGTAGAGTGTTCAATATATCCCGGGATTAGTTAAAGTGTGCATAAGCTGAACTGGACATCCCAATTTTTAAATAAAAATATATATATTAACTTCATTTGTCGAATTATTGGATTATAATAATCGAATTATAAAATATAAGTTTTTTAAGAAAATAGTATTGATTTAAGCATCAGAGGAAGAACAATTGGGTCTATAATTGGTCAAAGTAATACTTTTGTTTTTCAGATTGTCTTCATTTAACCAGATTTCAAGGAATTGCGCCGCCCTAAAACAATTTTTATCTTGAATTTTTTTTTTATATGAACACCCATCCATATAAGATGGACGGGCATCTATTATTTTATTTTTAAAATTTTATGGACGGGCGTCCATATAAGGTGGGCGCCCATCCGTATCATATGAACGGGAGTCAATTGTTAGTTTCATAGATGCTCGTCCATTCGTGATGAATAGTTGTCAATAAAATATGGACATGCGTCCATAATTGTTGGACGACCATTCATTCACGGAAGAGGTGTGTTGCCTCTAACGTGGGCACGTCTGGTTGGATGCCACATATGTCGGTACAAAAATTCGATGCAAATCATGGGTGTCTATAGCATTATCGTTCCCCAAAATAGTCAAGCGGGTTGGGGACGAGGGGTAGGCAATTCCCTAATCTCGAAGACGAGGTAGAGATGGGGTGGGCCCCATTCATCTCTGCCTCGTGTAGCCCTACCCTGTAGTCTGTACATTTATTTAAAACTTTATATCTTTTTTCTTTATTAGATTGTATATAAAGTTAGTATTCGATGATTTAAGAATTAAGATTTTAAGTCAATGTATCAAAATTGGTGATTGTTAAATTTATTATTATATATTTTAATTATGAAATAAAAATAACCTAAGATGAAATGTTATGAATTTATACTCTTAGGGGCCGTTTGGATNAAGCGGGTTGGGGACGAGGGGTAGGCAATTCCCTAATCTTGAGGACGAGGTAGAGATGGGTGGGCCCCATTCATCTCTGCCTCGTGTAGCCCTACCCTGCCGTCTGTACATTTATTTAAAACTTTATATCTTTTTTCTTTATTAGATTGTATATAAAGTTAGTATCCCATGATTTAAGAATTAAGATTTTAAGTCAATGTATCAAAATTGGTGATTGTTAAATTTATTATTATATATTTTAATTATGAAATAAAAGTAACTTAAGATGAAATGGTATGAATTTATACTCGGAGGGGCCGTTTGGATCGGTGGTAAATAAGATAACAAGGGTAATCTTTGATTATTTTGCAAGATTCCTGTGTTTGGTTTGCAAGTAATAAAATATTATGATAATCTTTTATTACAAATAGTGTTTACTATTGGTAATGTGGGGGGTAATCTTATTACCTTGTTTGAGGGTGTTATTAAAACATTACCAGGATAATATGATTTTTCTATCCATTTTGCCTATAATTAAAACCATTTCGGGCATAATTGCTCTCAAATGTCTACCAAATAACAATTATTCAGCTCCCTTATATTTGAGAAATTAGCTAAAACACCACAGCCACAAAAAAATTAAAAAAAATCCCCAGTCACCCAAGACACCACCGGCTATGACTCACCACTATCGGTCGCTAGCGTCAATTGTCGTAATGGTGCACAACCGTGGGATCTAGCCGGTCGTGCGCTGGTAAGACATTTTCTAACCATGGATCACAAATCCATGGCCGAAAACGGCCAGATTTGGCGTTTCTATGGTCATTTCACGATCAAAGATGTGGTCGTGAAACAGCCACAGATCTGGCCATGAAAAGGCCAGATCTTTGGTCGTGAAATGGCCATAGATTTGGCTAGGGATTTGTGATTCGTGGCCATTTCCGACTTTGTTGGCACACGGCCGGCCATATACAGCTAGTGGTGCGCCATTCCATTGACTGTCAGTGGCGGCCAGCGGTGGTGATTGGTTGCCAACAGTGGCTTGGGGTGGGTGGGGGTGATTTTGCTACAAATTAAAGTTTTATATAGCTGGGGTGTTTTAGCAAAATTTCAAATGCAGGGGGTTAAAAATGATTCAAAAAATAATAATAAAAAATACTATTATATTAATATTTAAAAAGACGGGCAATTTAGTAATCTATATAACATACCCACCCATTTAACGTCTCAACCAAACATATTTTCATCAATTTATTCAAACCAACCAAACACATTTTCTAAACATTTCTAGTAATCTTTAAGGTGATATTTTTTTCCGTTAATATAATATACCTTTATAATAAAATATTATATGATTCAAACACCCCCTTAGGGTGCGTTTGTTTCACGGAATTCTTATGATTATCACTAAGATAGATTATCTTGAAGATTAATGGGGGAATGTTGCACTAATATATTTGATTAGATTGGTGAGTATAAATAATTAATATGTTTGGTTGGGAGGAATAAAATATTATCAAGGGGTTTTTACTGAATTGCCCTTCGTTGTTAATATTATTATTATTTAGAACATTTTTAACCCCCTACATTTGAGAATTTAGCTCAAACACCCCAACAACAAAAAAGTTTAAAATTTAATAAAATACACCCAGCCACTCAATATTATCGAGGGGCTTGGACCCGCAGTTCAACCGGTACCCGAGTAAAAAATATAGGGTATGGGTCTATTACATTGGACCCCTTTTTTTGGACCCGTACCCAGTCTGGCTCGTTTTGCCTACAGGTGTACCTGCGGGTACGTGCTGGCACGACCCACAATTTTTTTGGAACAACACGAAAATTTCATATCATGCCATGGCCCGTGGGCCATGTCATGGGCTTAAAATTTGGCACATCAACCGAAACAACACAACCTAGGAATTTAAAAAAAATAAAAAAATTTAATTTTTTTGAGAAAAGCCTATACGGCACGTGGGCCGACCCACTAAGGCACAGTATGCACGACCTACCGTGCCATGGACCTTGAGTTTTGGTTGTCCAGCACGGCACGGCCCATGGCATGGTGAGCCATGAAAATTTTGGCCTGGCACGGCTAACCACCACCTCTAGCAAGTGCTCCTTTATTTTAAAAAAAAAAAAACCCTAATGTCTAAGTTGAAATCCCTAACTCATCTCGACATTTCCTCTCTCACACCGTCAAACAGTCACACTGTCGCCGTCCACTGACGACATCTCCTCTCTCGCACTAACCTAACTCTCATCTCTCACATTGTCACACAATCATAACGTTTTTGTCTACCATCGACATCTCCTTTCTCACACTCACGCAACTCTCGTCTTTCACATTGTCACACAGTCACACCGTCGACATCTCCTTTCTCACACTCATGCAACTCTCGTCTTTCACATTGTCACACAATCACACTGTCGACATCTCCTCTCTCACACTCACTAGCTGCCGCTTGCTCAGGTATCATACACTTGATGATTATTATATTGTATCGTCAATTAGAACAACTATAAATACTACTTGTTTGTCCCAATCTGGCATTCTTTGGTTTGGCTGCATATATAATAGCGCATTCATGTGCTTGTCACATGGTCTAGGAGTGACATATCTTGTTTCAGTTAGTTCTAAGTTGTTATATTTTCCACTATAGGAGAAGTAGCGAAATTGTTTGCGGCCTTTTGTGTCTTTTATTGCTTTGATGCTGTGTTTGAGCCTTTGAAACAAATCTGAAGGATCATATTTGCATGATCATTTTATTCTCACAGTTGTTAAAACCAAAATTCATGATTTGATGTAATATTATTGTACTTAATTAGTCCCCAAATTAAGGTTCTAAGCACAAGAATCAAACAAAATCAGAGACGGTAAGATGATTTTAATTGGTTGTGGACCTGAACCATGCTAATTAGTTGTTGTTGTTTTTTCGTGCTTTGGGGGGGGGGGGGGGGGGGGGGGGGGGGGGGGGGGTGGGTGTGATTGTGCTTGTTTTCTCTGTTGGCTGGCTAGAAGCGGCTGACAGGTGGGTTGGTTTTTGTGTCTCACACGCTTTGTCTTGTTCTGATTTGTGTTGTGCTGACTTGGGGTTGAAGATTTGCCTGTTAGTTATCTGCAGCTCACTTGTTGCTCTAGTTTTTTTTTTTTTGCTGTTTTTTTGTAGCAGTTTTGTTTTTCTACTTGCTGGTGTTTTTGGGTTTGTGTATAGGCTTTTGACATTTGTGCTCCTCTTGTGGGCTGTTTTGTAAAGGTGTTTTCTGTTTGCTTCCACTAATATACTCATTAACAACATTTCTTAATTATTGATTTTTTTTGTTCAGGTAGTCTCAAGCATTGACATGGATGATTCTCAGTCTATAGATATGGATATCGTTAATGTGAGAGAAAGTGACGATGCTTCTAAGGTAATGCCGCCTCCTTCCAATACTATTATTACTACCAGTTCTAAAAGCAAAAGTAAAACATCAGAAGTTTGGAATTACTTTGATGCATATTTTGATAAGAATAGGAATGAGAGAGCTAGGTGTAACGGGTGCAATAAAACTTATGCATATGGTAGTTCCACTCATGGGACTAAAAATTTGAAGCGTCATATAGGAGATTGTCCAAAACGTGCAACACTGATGTATGACAATTGTTGACTGATCATGATCATAAATTGTAAAGCAAAAAGATTAGTCAAGAGACTTTTTGTAAGAAAATGACATTATCAATTATTCAACATAATTTATCCATATTCATATGTGGAGAATCAAGGAACTAGGAATGTCTTTTTGTATTTGTGTAAGGATGTTAAGCATTATACTAGGAACACCGTTAAGGCAGATTGCTTAAAAGTATATGGAAGGATGAAGGAAAAAAACTAAGCTTGAATTAGAGAGGCTTACTAGTAGAATATGCTTAACTTCTGATATTTGGACTTTTGCTACAACTAAGGAATATATTTCTTTAACGGCTCATTACGTAGATGAGAATTGGGTGTTACAAAGTAAAATACTCAACTTTTGTCATATTCCTCCACACTCATGGATTGTTTTGGCAGATAAAGTTTTGACTTTCTTACAAGATTGGGGAATTGAAAAGAAAGTTTTCTCAATTACTTTGGACAATGCAAGTAGTATTGCTAGGATGGAGGATATCTTAAGGAACCAACTTTGTGTGCAGAATGCTTTGTTTTGTAGGGGTGATTTTTTCCATGTGTAATGTTTTGCACATATTTTGAATCTTATTGTTCAAGAAGGGTTAAAAGCTCCTAGTGTGGCTTTAAATAAGATTCGAGATAGTGTGAAATATATTAAAGGAACTAAGGCTAGAAGAATCAAGTTTGGAGAACTTGTTGTACAAATGGGTGTGAAAAGCTCAATGGGGTTGAGATTGGACATTTCCACTAGATGGAATTCAACTTTTTTAATGTTTGAAACTACGTTAATATATCGTTTTGTGTTTGTAGTTTTATCAACTATAGATCACAATTATAAATTTTGTCCATCAAATGAAGAATGGGATAGAGGGGAGAGGATATGCAAGTTCTTGGAACCATTTTATGAGATTACAACTTTATTCTCGGGTTCCAAATATCCTACAGCAAACTTGTACCTTAAATGTGTGTGGAAAATTCAATTGCGTTTAGTTGAAGAGAAGATGAAGTTATTAGGAGCATGGCAGAACAAACGATCCCAAAATTTGCAAAATATTGGGATTCTTATAGATACTAAAGTTTCTTTATATTCTACTAATTAATTCATGGATGATATTTCTATTGTATTTACTTCCAACTTTCAATTTTTTGAAAATGGGATAGACAGCAAATTGGGATCACAATTACAACTCAATAGGATATTTTTATTGGTTTAAATATTATATTGATAGTTATTTAACCACTAGTCCATTAACTTCTAGTTATTGGGTATATAAATAATTCAACAGACAATGAGATGAACATTCAATATAATTGTTTATAATGCTGAAGATCAGAACATCAGAGTAAAATTCTCAAATAGACATCAATTATTAACATTCCAATTCATCATTATTTGGTACACTCATTATTTGGAACACTCATTTCTCAATTAATTGGTCAATTTGACAATATTTCAAAAACTGTTACGGGTGTAATTGTAATTTTAGAAGGGTTTATTTGTCATTTTTTTTAAAATAGGGGGTAATTGATATTTTTTCAGGTACCGGGTTTCAAATCAAAGGAATCGGCCGGTTCCAGTTCCTTTGATTTTGGGCAGGTGCCCGCACCCGCCCACCCCTACTTCGTATGATGATTTTCTTCTTGTATAGGTCTATCATATTGTTTGTAGCTATTATTATTTTCCTAATAATTCAAGCATGATGCTACGATTAAATGTTAAAATCCATTAACATTCGAAGGCTGATGCTTCTGGTTGCAGTCCTTGACTTCAGAAGCTGATGCTTAAGTAAAGGAATTTCGATAATCAATTGACCGCCTGAAGGCTGAAAGTGAGGAGTTGGAGGTGACCTTTCCCTTATTTGTCATATTGTAGTAGGATGTAGAACAAATGGAATTTCTATTGTTTCTTACATCAATTATCCCTGAGGTGATAGCAAAATGAATGATTTTATGTTGTTTCATGCATTGACTTATCCCATGTGTTTGTCTGTGAAGAGAGTCTGTTACTATTTCTGGAATATTTGAGTCGACAATGTTCGATGCAGTATCTTATTTTAAAGAAAATGGAATTTGATGTGATGTGAACTAGGTAACTTTGTCCCTAGTTGACTAGTTTCCCTCATGAGCTATAGTATATTGTTTTTCTTGGTCAATTCAGTTCAGCAAGAGCAAGTTGCAAAGCTCAATGTACTAAAGTACATCTAAAGCATCCTTTGTCAAAATATATATGGTTTTGCGGGAACTTTTAACCCTTGGAAGGGCATTATGCTTTTGTTCTTAGAGCTAGTATATTGCCTAACAAATCAGTATAATAACTCAAACATTGGCTGCTCTTATGTCAAATGTATATAAATAATTAAATATATTAGTCAAAACAGTTTCTTTTAATTTTTTAACTTTAAATTCATCATCAATATTATTATCCAAAATTTTATATAATTGAATATTAAATTACTTTAATTTTATTTCAAATGTTTTGATACATGATGATGTTTGACCAACTTAAAATTAACCAAGATGGTATTAGCATTGAGGCCCCGTTCTCAATTAGTATTTGATAAATGTGTGGGTTTTCTTTGTAGGTTACACCATGTCAACTCAAAACTCTTTACCAAGCAAAGGAAAAAAAAAAAAAAACTTAGAAGAGGAGATCAATCAATATTCTGAGGCGTCGAAAAAACATTTCGATTGAGAGTTCCCAAATGCAATTTCCACCTGATGAAAGTGACCAAGTACAATCTCCAATTGATGAAAGTAACGAACCAATGCTAGTACATAGTCCTCATTCAAGCCCTCTCCGGTTTTCCCTTGATGATGCTAGCATTACTGGAAGTAGAAGATCTAAGTCAGTTGTATGACTCCGTTTCAAGAAAGTCATAGTTGATGGCAATGAGAAGGCGAAGTGTAACTATTGTTGTAGACAACTTGTTGGTGGTTCTAAAAACATGACAAAGCATTTGCATGATCATCATAAAATTTGTTCAAGGCGAAAGTACCAAGATATATCACAAATGATGAGTGTGGGGATGCAGAAACAAGATTCAAAAAGGACACTAAGCACTTACAATTTTGATCAAGAGGCAGGGAGAAAGGACCTTGCTAATATGATTATTCTTCTGGATTATCCTTTAAGCATGGTTGATCATATGGGGTTTAGAAGATTCTACAACACTATTCAACTCTCGTTCAAGGTTGTTTCTAGGAGGATTATTAGGAATGACATTAGGAAGATTTATGATGTTGAAAATGAAAAGTCCATGAAATTGTTAAACAAGAATCAGAGTAGAATTGCCATCGCTTCTGATTTGTGGACTGCCAGCAATTAGAACAAAAGATATATGACATCACAGCACACTATATCGATAATAATTGGGTGTTACAAAGTTGACTTGTAGTATTATGTTTTTATGTTCATTATTCATATTTCTTCATACATTTATATTCATATATTAATTATCTATTTTTTTACATTGTAGGTTTGTACATGTGATAATCCTATTTTTTATAGTGTTTATGCATCATATTTCAATAGGATTTAAGTACTTCTCATGCATTTTGAACTTAATTGTATAGTAATTCCTTGTATTTATCCACTTTGCTGTCTCGAAGGGTATTTGAAGTAAAAATTGTGATTTTAAGCTTTTCAACTTAGAAGGGATCCAAAATTTGAAGAATTGAGAAGTGATGAAGATTCAAGGGATTAAGTCAAGAAATGACATTTGTGGCAAAATTTTAAAAAAGCTTGCTTTCGTTGCGGTGAGAATTTATTCTTGCCGTGGCAAAATGCTACTGGGTTGTTGCGGTTTTGGAATTTTTGGGTTTCGCCTGGCGAAAATAAATTCTTGCCGCGGCAAAACTACCATTTTAAGGAAAAAAAAAAAAAAAAAAATCAAAACACTCCGTTTTGGACTGTAGGATTTTTAACCACAAAAGGAAACACCATATAAAAGATGAAAGAGGAAATTTTGAGGGAGTTCAGTCACTTAGGAGGCAAGGGAACGTGAAGAGAAGAAGGAGGAGCAAAGATTCATCTTCTTAGAGAGATTTTCTTTATCCTACTCTTGTTTTTCCATGTTAAACTCTATTTTACTTTGTTTGTATAGTTTTATTTTCATTTCTATGAGAAACTAATTGTTTATCTAGGGTTTTGATGTAGCCTTAATACAATTACTTAGTACATATATATGATTTAATATACTCTTTTGTTCTAATTCCATTGATTGAGTGTTTATTTCTATGTTTGTTGCATCTTTGGATGATTGGCCATCATACAAATGATATGATGTTCATGATGAGACTAAAAAGTGATTCATGATCTTTGCATCTTGTGATAAACACTATAGATTGAGCGAAAACTAGAGATAGACAAACGTGATCTATATGTGACCCATATAAAATCCCATCTAGCTTAATAAACTTTTAACTATTAAACTTCAATTTTTAGGTGTGGAAGGTTAATAGGAATGAGTGGGATAATATAACTTGAAGAGGAGTGCTAAACGATATAAGGGATTCGGTCTTCAATCAAGAAATTAGGAGTTTGGGTAGAAACATCTATGTATTGGGTAAGAATATCTTGGTGAAATCAAACACCCTAGAGTTTTGAATCATTTGTATTGATATTGGGTCTTGCTTTAAATTCATTATTAACTATCTATATTTAGTTAATTTGTAGTTAATTGTCAATATTGCATCATTCCAATCTTTATTGCTTAAATTAGGACTTGTTCTATATAAACAGGTAATTAATACACTATCATCGTGGGAACAATACTCTTCGTCATCACTTTATTACTAAAGGGCCGTTTGGATCAGGGCTATATAAGATAATGGGGATAATCTTCGTTTATTTTTGTAAGATTCTGGTGTTTGGTTTGCAAGTAATAAAATATTACGGTAATCTTTTATTACAAATAGTGTTTACTGTTGGTAATGTGGGTAAAAATCTTATTACCTTGCTAGGGGGTATTATTAAAACATTACCAGTGTAATCTAATTTTTCTACCCATTTTGCCCTTAATTAAAAACCATTTCAGACACAGTTGCCCTCAAATGTATACCAAATAACAATTAGCCCAGCCCCCTACATTTGAGAAATTAGCTAAAACACCCTAGCCACAAAAAAGTTTAAAAGTTAACAAAATACCCCCAAATACCCAAGACCACTGCTAGCCCTGACTCACCACCATCAACTGCTGGCATCAATCGCCATAATGGTGCATAATCGGCGGGATCTGGCTAGTCATATGCCAATAAGGCCTTTTTCGACCATGGACCATAGATCGCAAAAACGACCAAATCTGGCATTTCTATGGCCGTTTCACAGCTAAAGATGTGGTCGTAAAACAACCACAGATTTGGCTGTGAAAAGGCTAGATCTTTGGTCATGAAATGGCATGGCCATAGATCTAGCTGTTTTTCGGCCATGGATTTGTGATCCATGGCCATTTCTAGCTTTGCCAGCGCACGATCGGCCATATTTGGCCAATCGTGCGCCATTCCGTTGACTGTCGGTGGCGGTCGGCGATGGTGGCTAGATGCCGGTAGTGGCTTGGGATGGATGGGGGTGATTTTCTTACAAATTAAAGTTTTATATGGTTGGGGTGTTTTAGCAAAATTTCAAATGTAGGGGGTTAAAAGAAATGATTCAAAAATAATAATAAAAAATACTATTATATTAATATTTAAAAAGGATGTCAATTAGTAATCTATGTAATATACCCACCCATTTATCTTCCCAACCAAACATATTATTCACCAATTTATTCGAACCAACCAAACACATTTTCTAAACATTCCTAGTAATCTTGAAGGTGATCTGTCTTTCCGTTAATATAATATTCCCCTATAATAGAACATTATATAATCCAAACCCCCTTTTAATGCAACTAGTGCACTTACTAGTATGCATATGAAATCATGCATCAAGTTCTTGGCGTTGTTGCTGGGGATTGTTTGTGTTAATATTGGTAGAATCTAGAAAGTGCTAAATTGAAGTTTTTCATTTCATTTTGCAGCTAAGAGTATAGTTTGTTTAGTTTAAATTTTGAATTCTTTTTGTTTATAGTGCATGCGAAAAGTGAGGAGTCGCAACTTGGTTTCTATTGATCCTGAGATTGAAAGGACAACAAGACAACTCATTAGAGAGCAAAAGGGAAGACAAGAGACACCAGTTGTAATTATGGCGAACCCTAGAAATCTGAAAGAATTCTCAATCCCAACAGTTAATGGATGTGGTCCAAGCATTATAGACCACCTGTTCAAGCTAACAACTTTAAGATCAAACTAGCGATCATTCAGATGATCCAACAATCAATTTAGTTTATGGGTACCATATGTGAGGATCCTAATTTGCACATAGCTAACTTTTTGGAGATATGTGATACATTCAAGCACAACGAAGTGACAGATGATGCTATTCAGTTAAGGCTATTTCCGTTATAATTGAGGGATAAAGCTAAAGGATGGCTAATGTCCTTATCATCGAGAACTATCACAACTTAGGATGAGCTAGCACAAAAGTTCCTTGCAAAGTATTTTCCACCAGCTAAATCGACCAAGATGAGAAATGATATCTCATCTTTTGTTTATAGCAATAGTGAATCCTTGTATGAAGCATGAGAGAGGCATAAGGAGTTATTGTGAAAATGTCCACACCATGACACCTATTTGGATGCAAGTTCAAACCTTTTATAATGGTTTGGTACCTACTTTTCAAACCGTGGTTGATGCCACATCAGGAGGAGCATTAAACAACAAAACCTTAGAAGCTACTCATGAGTTGCTTGAAGCATTAGCGAGTAACAATTATCAATGACCCAATGGTCGAGCAATGCCTAAGAAGAATATAGGTTATCATGAAGTTGATGCCTTCACCATACTTCCTACTCAAATTTTAGCTCTTTAGAAGCAATTGGGAGGTATGAATGTGAGTTCAATTCAATCTCCTAAACTAATATGTAAATTTTATGTAGGGTTGTTTTCAAGCCGAGTCAAGTTTTTGGCTAAACGAGCTCGACTCGAAAAAAGGGAGGACAAGTTTGAGTTCAAGCCGAGCCAAACGAGCTGTTGATTTCCGGGCTCAGCTTGAACTCGTTAAAGGGGAGAGGGGATTCGAGCTTGGCTCGCAAGCCGGCTTGTGAGCAAGTAGCAAAACAAGCAATTAAAAAAAAAAAAAAAAAAAAAGACACTCCAAGTTNAAAAAAACCCTAAAACATTTGCTTACCCGTTATTTCACTAAGGCAAAAGTTTCCCACCCATTTTTCATTAAGGCAAAAGTTTCCTACCCATTTTTCGTTAACCCGTTTTCCATTCTCTCTACCCTAACTTATTTTCCCCTTTTCGTTCTCCACATCTCGTTGAGCTTTTCACTTTGATTCTTCGTTCTCACCTTAAATCCTTCTCCAATCTTCTTCGTTCTCACCTGAATATAAGACAAACTCTGGCCTTTGAGTTTGTGACTTCAGCCACTCGCTAGTTCATCATTCTTCAAACTCTTTTCATTCAAAGTTAGGTACTATTGTCATTTTGTTTTACTAGTAAGAATTGATTGTTTTTCAAATGAAGTTTGGTTCTTTCACCTTGTTTTCATTTGGGTTTAGCTTCATTTCTTTGCTTCTTTGTCTTGTTTCAGTATTAACAGTGAATTAGTTGCTAGTGATGTGTGTTTGGGTGTGAATGTGTAAATGACTTTTGTAATAACTCTCTCTAGCTAGTATACTTTGGGAAATTATAATATGAAATCATCAAATATGTTATAGAAAACATATATGTATATAAGTATAAGATAGTGGGCCCAAAACTAACTTTACTTTCATATACAAATTCTCTATATTAAGTAAGAAAGTCATATACATAAACTCAAAATACAATTGGATAGTAGTGCCATTCTACTGCATCTCATCTATTGCCTGCAAAAACAGTGAAATCAAACTGAGTGAGCATTAATTGCTCAGTAAGTAAATCCACTATGCTACTCTTCTTCCTCCGTTACTCATATTTTGGATTTCTTTCCTTACATCAAACTTCTCTACTCTTCTCTACTCTCTCTAAAATTCTAGTTTCTCACTTACCGATATGTAAGCACAAATAGGGAAACTAACTTAGAATAGTAGAAATGACATAATGCATATGTACATATGCATAGGGGATATATTTTCTTTTCTGTTTTTTCTATTTCTCATTTATTTTTCGTTTTCTTTCTTTTTTTGTTTCTCTTCTTTTTTGTTTTTCTATTCTTTCTTTCTTTCTTTTCTTCTCTATTCTTTCTTTTCTTTTTCTATTCTTTCTATTCTTTCTTTCTTTCTTTCTTTCTTTCTATTCTCTTCTATTCTAGTTTGCCAATCAGACTTGGTTAAAGCATAGATTCAGAATCGTGGCCATGTGAGTGAGTACAGTCCTTATCTATATGCACTACTTACGGACTATACAAGTACTGTATCTCTCTGCTGTGGTCGTTCGCTCATGGCGGTATGTATGTAGGTATGCTCTGCTGGGTACAGTCCTCATCCACATTCACTTCTAATGGACTGTACAACTTCTTCTTTCTATTCTGAGGCCGTTCACTGAAGGCGGCATGCATGTGGGGCTATTTTGTTTCTCTATCACTCACGGGCTTCCTATCGCAACAACTTTCTCTTCCCTTATCTTTTTATATTTCTTTAAGTAAAATTTCAGATTTTAATTGTTTTTTAATTATATTTCTTAAAACAATAATTCTACATTTAATTACTTTTCTTTCTTTCTCTTTATTCTTTAATGTTCTCATGTATGTATATGTGCATGTAAATATGCTCATTTTTTTGCTATTCTTTTTAAATGCAAACGTAAGAATGTAATAATGTATTATGACATATAAAGATATCATCATAAAACTAGTATTCTCTACCAACAACATTTCCATAATAAAGTAATAATCCAACATACTTATGTATATGCACTTTCTTTGACATTTCATCAAACACCTTACATGCACATACAAACCCTAAATTGGTTACACTTCCACATATCTCTCAAGTCACCAAAATTGGAGCAAACAACTCTTTAAAGCCAACAATCAGCCTAGCCGAATTTCATCCTCCACCTTTCCATATCCATTCTTTCATTTTTCATCCAAAATCCCATCAACTCAACACATACAAATACATCACTTCTCATCACATACCAATAATCAATTCTCATCACATACTAATAAATCAATTCTCATCACATACTAATAAGTCACTTCTCATCACATACTAATATATTACTTCTCATCACATATAATAAATTACTTCTCATGGCCATGAAATTCACATATCAAACAACCTCAATTTTCAATCCATAATTCTCATCATCCAAACACTCATACAGCATATAAAAATTTCTCTATACAAGTATTTATCCAATCAGAGCTAAAGTTGCATTTACTTACCCTGAATTTGAGCAACTCCAACACTATAATCTCTCTTTAGTAGAATTCTCTTTTGTCTTAAACCCTAAGCATATAAAACCATAAAAATTCAAAATTTTAAAATTTAATCTCACATCTTGGTGCAAGAATCTTACATTTGGATGCTTAGGATTGAAAATCTATCAAAATTGAACTAAAATGCTATGAATTTCCTTGAAAATTGAGTGAAGAAATTTGAGAGAATTTAGGGTGAAGGTGGCATGAACTATGGGTAGAGTGGCTAGGGTTTCTCTTTTTGAACCCTTATTACATAATAATATATATATATATATATAGTTTCCCATTTTCCCTTTGCACTTTCTAAAANGGGGGGGGGGGGGGGGGGGGGGGGGGGGGGGGGGGGGGGGGGGGGGGGGGGGGGGGTGTTGTGTTAGGTGGGCAAAGTTATAAGAGGTGTTCAATATTTTTGTCAAACTTATATATATTGTGTGTGTGCACATGTATGTCAGACATTTGTATGTTTCAGATTTTTTTGCATTTTATCTTTGAGTGTGTGCATGCTCTTCTTCTGTGCTAAGATCACATGTTTGGCTCACTTTGGCACATGTTGCCTTTTTTACTTAACAGCTAAGATATTTTCTTTACATCTTTTGTATTGTATTTAGACCACTTATAGGTGTTTCAATATCCTTTAGTGGTCCAATGAAAATCAGCATTTTTTCCCTTTTGGTTGTGGTCCTAAACTAAAGTTGAAAACATTTCTATTTTTGGACCAACACATGTCAACCTTTGTCTACTGGCTTTGCAAGAATTGGAGTGCGCAAATTTGGGTTTATCTTCTCCATTCTTGCAACTTTGTTTGAATAACCTTTGTTTTTGCTTTGTGCTCTGAAACTTTCAGAGAGTTTATTTATCAAAGGCTCCCATATGTTTTTTGCCAAACACTTATCATCCTTTATCTTTGTTGAGCTAAAAGGAAGTTCATCTTCTTCCTTGTTTGTTTTTCTTTTTTAACCTGAATATCTATTTCGTTGGTGCTCTGAACTTTTCAAAGAGTTGTTTTTTGTTAGGTTCTTTTATATGGGTTTGTGCTAGAAACTTTCTTGGTTATCTTCATTGTTGAATGGTGGCTGGAACATGGTTCCTTTGCTGATGTTGGAGTGTGTCTTCAGCGACTGAAGGTTGGGTGGAGCTCAAGCGTTTTCCAAGAGTAAACCTAGTGTGAAGAGATCCATGGAGCAACAAGACATTAGAAATTCAAAGGGTGGTGTTTAGTGTAACTAGAATAGAGAGTTCTCTTTCTTGTAACTAAAATCAATTTTGAACTACATGTTTGTTGATTAGTGGATTTGTTTTGATCTAGATGAGATCTCATGGATATAGGGTAAAAGTGGATTTAGTCGAACCACGTTTATGTTGGTGTGCTTTAAATTTACAGCTTATTATTATTGATTTGTTGTAAACTTGATTGTGTTAACACAACTTGGTAAATCATTCCACTGCAATCTTTAAAATTGAGTTAACTAACTCTAACAAGGGGGACAGAGGCTAATAATGGCAGTAGTCAGCTTCAATTCGTATTGTTGGAAGAAAAAAAAGATAATATACATCTATTCAAACGCGGGTACATTGTAAGTTGTATAATTTATACTAATATCATCAAAGATTTCGTAAACAAATATAAATGTTATTAACTGAGAATCTTTTCCTTGAATACTTCAGCTAGGTTACAAAGCCGTGTTGTCCAAGTTGATTGAAAAAAAAAAAAAAAAAAAAAAAAAAAAAACTTATTTCTTCCCGTTGGCAAACCTGCTGAGGCCAGCTCTATATGTTACATTTTTTGTATGTTACACTTCCAACAAAGTCATTTTTTAATGTTTAAANAAAAAAAAAAAAAAAAAAAAAAAAAAAAAAAAAAAAAAAAAAAAAAAACCTGATTTCTTCCCATTGGCAAACCTGCTGAGGCCAACTCTATATGTTACATTTTTTGTATGTTACACTTCCAACAAAGTCATTTTTTAATGTTTAAAATTATTTAAAAGATATCTGAACTTGCTGAAGTTAATATGCAGAGATGAAAGGAATTTTTTTTGTTTTTTTGGTTGTTGTTGTGAAGAATTCTGTAGCTGAGATGTGTGCTCATCAAGAGTAGTTTAATTGTTGATTTATTTCATTCTATGGTTTTTTATTTGCATGCATTTTTAGTAGTTCATGTATATATATTGAATTTATCTATTTTTAACTTTTTTTATAGTTCATGGGGAAATTAAGAAA